CCAAGTGAAATGTAACTAGTGATCTAAATGATTTGAATAAAAAGATAATGAGCTTTTTAGAATTATACTAAATATGTCTGTAAATATACCCTAAAATTCTATTAGCTTTACTACTAGTAACAGAGCATTGCTTCTTTGGTTTGAGTGACTCATCCACCAATATGTCAATATCCTTTTCTTCAGTCAATCTATTGAATTGGTTCCAATCTATATCAAACGGTGGTTAAAATTATGATAACCCAAGTACATTACCTTGCACTTAATATATTTAAAGGTCATTTGCCAAGTATTTATCTAAGTCATTTTCTAATACCTTAATATCACATATGAATATTTTATGAAAACCAAAAACAGTTAAAGAGCGCACAGAAAAAAAGTTCTTTTATTGTTCTGTTTATAGTTAAAGGCATAGAAGTAAATATATTAGAACTGAAGTAGAGCTTTTACGAGAAGTATATTGTCTCATTTTAAGTACTCTGTTTTTTTTTCAGTGGTTTCTCACGATTTTACAGAATATGTACTATGGGAAAAATGAAATCATAGCATTATAGCAGGAGTTCTTATCTATAATGCTAACCGGGTCAAAGCGCTTGTAATGAATAACTATAAAATGAACATTGATTATTCAAAAATCAAACCTCCTAAAAATAAATAAACAACACAAAGCTTAAAGGCCAGCATCTGAGTTTATTAAACACTATCTAAGAAGATGTAACTAACACTAGTTCGAAAACTGGTCAACTGGTTTAAAAATTGAACCAACTAACTCAAATCAGAGTCATTCAACAGACAAAACTTGTAACAATTAAAAAAGGAATGTTAAAGCTGAGATAAAAAATTAGTTAATTGTATCTAAATGATTTCGAAATTAAAATAAAAATAATGAAAGAAGTAAAAGAAATTAACGAAGTCTAAAAATAGATTATAGGTAGCGGACGAAATGATAATAACCATCGCAAAATTCAAATGTAGAAGAAACTTTAAAATAATCATAAGGCAACAAGTTGAGTTTGAACACACAAATGAAGGTTGGTGTGTAATCTATGAGAAGGCTGATGTGCATTCAGGGGATAGAGTTAGTGAAATAAATTTTCTGGACAGTTAATGAGTGCTGAAAATCAAGCGAGTTTGCTTATTTGTGTTCAGAAAGGTGTAGTTTTCAAGAATATCGTCTTATAAATCATGTACTTACAAATATAACTGTTTTTGACTCCTTTCTGTTAATTTTGGTCTAAGCTCTGAATTGTTTTAATTAATTGCCCCTAGTTTTGTTTGTCAAAACTATTTTCTACTCAGATTAACGTCTACACTTTAGTGAGTAAGTTTTGAACAGTACTATTATTATAGGTCTTCTAAGATGCAGCTTAGGCCTAACGATGCGTTGTTAATGCTCCAAAATATTTAGCCTAAAAAGTCGAATAAACTTGTTTGTGGGCCTGTAAACATTTTGTTGTTTACTTTTCTGTTGGATTTTTGTACCTGTTATGAAGTTAGTCATAAGGAACAGTAGTTGGATTTAAAGAGGTGAGAAAGCGGCCAGCTTTTAGTCAGTCTCTAAGGGATTAGGGGATAAAAGCACTCTAAGCCATTAGAAAATTATTGGAGTGAGCGGCTGTCTTTTTTGTTCGGCTGATGGGTAGATTACAGGACTCCTATAATTATGAGACACTGTAATCCGATATACGGGGAAAAACAAATGTGGAAGTTCAGAAAGAAAGAGACTAGTTCAGCGTGGGTTTGAGTAAGGATATAAAAGACAGGAATTCTACAAAAGTAAAAAGACCTGGAGATGTGTGATAGAACGAATAAACAAACCGAATAAGACGAAGTAGTATGCTGTCAGTAAGAAACAAAACCTAGTTCTAAATCTACGTGTTATGTTTACACTAGTGTGAGTCTATTCCTGATAAGAAAAATTACAACCTAAATAAAGTTAATGGCCATAAGAAGGGAGAGCGAAGTACAAGTATAGCATGATTATACCAAAATGGTGTCAAGGCGATCGCAACAGTGTCTTGGATGTATTCATTAAGTTTTTTTACTATAATTTTGAATTTTTTAAATTACATTTTAGGTTGAATTTTGTACAAAGAAAGAAGTGGGATATGTATGTTTGTTATATATTTACATAGCAAGACTGTTTTAGCAAAATTATTGGGCCAGCAAACTACACTAAGAGGGAATATATCCCTACAGATTATTTACAAATCTCAAGATATGGTTTAGTATGTGAGCAGCCGCGACAGCTAGCCAGTTGTAGTTAATATATTATTTGGAAATTTCTCCAATACTTCTAAGGACGAATGTTTATTGGTTGCATCATTGATTGGATAAATGTCCGTGGTATTTCAACTCACTCCTAAATCAATAGAAAGATTCTGGATGTTCTAATGTCGAATCTCGCATATCTTCCTTTAGAGTCTTTGAATTTCATGTTTGCACTTCTAATGTACCTAAAGAGCTTCATGTTTTAGGATTTCTGTGATAGGATACAGACTGAACCAGTTCGCCACCATTGTGAATGCAAAACGTCAGATCTCATGGTGACGCAAAGATCGAAGTTTGGATGTAGAACAATGGCCAACTGTCATGGTTGGTTGTAATGGATGAGAGTAGGTGTTAGACAGGAAAATAGTTAAGAAGTGTGGTGAGATAATATCTTGTTGTGAACCTGTTTCAGCTAGTTAAGATTTGAATCACCAATATATATAATGGAGCCACAACTGTGCTGTAAAATTCTAGACGGCACTACACTGCTTATATTATTAAAATTCTTGGAATCCATTAGAAAAAGATAATACCTCTTTCAGAATGATACTGCATCATTCCATAATGTATACCGTGTTTAGCAGTCATTTCAAATATATAACATCCAGAAGCTGTTTTGGAAGGAAAGAAATACCGAACTGAATCAAAATGAACAATTGTGGGAAACTACTGAGAACTTCCTGAGAGACAGAAAAGAGAGACTGACAGTCTATTCTACCAGATATGTACCAATAGTTAATAAAAAGTGTTAGTTAAATATTTCAAGATGTTATAAGAAAATTATAGTGGGCCCTATCTTTATTAGCAAGGTAATAAGGGCCTGCTTTTAAGGTGTATGCAAACACAGACAGTTTGGATAAAGAATTATATAAATAAATATGCATTCAAAAATTGAAGAAATCTCGAAACTGGTATCTAAATAAGCATGGAATAAATGATGAAAAATCACATCTTCTATCTTCATTATTTCTTAAATTAGAAAAAAAAACTTGCGTCTTATTGTCAATTTTTTTAAAAAAATTAGTTTAAAACATATATGAATTTTATTGCAATTAAATATTACTTTTAAAGATATGTTTTTTAATCAAATAATTTCCGACTAAATTTACGCCAAAAGCAGTGGTTTCTACTAATGGTCATAGTTACAACCATTAAGAGATAATTACATAATCATACATTCCGTGCTTAAGTATAATTCAAATAAGTTTAAATAGCAGCTTTCCTGACGCTCTGGATGATGTTCTTCAAAGAAATAAGCGTATGATGAGTTATATATTATATGATAACTATGAAAAATATTAATTTTTTCCTTAAAGTAACACAGAAACTTAGTACGTTTGTACAGAGTTACTAATCGTACACTTTGAATGCCTTGAAGTAATTAGGAAACTGTAAAAATATAAAAGCTGTTTGCAGTTAAGCTGTGGGTATAAAATCTTATTGAGCTTCCTTTTTATGCGATATATAAAGTTTACTTAACCCTTGTTTGAACTACTAATTTTCGTCTCATTAAAAGTAAATGAAAAAGGGATGTGAGAAAAATCATCATATATTCATGTTACTTTAATGGAAGGTTAAAACAAAAGTACGTAATTACAATATTCTAATTGTTATTTTTTTTTCTGCAGCTTCCTTTGATGAAAATGTGTTCAATATTTAATCAAATTTTTCTTTCATCCCCCCTAGATTAGAAAAAAATCTAGCTTGGTCAGTAGCTTTAGGATAAAAAAAAATGCGCGATTCCTGTGTAAAAAAAAAAATAACTTACGTTAATTCAGAGAAAACGCATTAAAATCTTTTGTTTGTACATTCGAGAAATTAACAATCACTTATGTGTAAGGATATGTCTGTTACAATAATATTTTAGTGTGCAACATTTTCATGCATTACAACTAATATCTATTGAACATTTTCTGTTTTCTTTGTAAAAAGAATTAAAATATTATTTAGGAACTTACTACTTTTACGTAAGAAAACAAAATACAAAAAATATCACGCTTTACTCTCGAAATATCATCATAAATAATGATTTTATATTTTAGTCATTTTTTCAATTCAAACTTATGTAATTCTATAATTATTTAAACTATATAGACGTTGGATATGTTTTTGATTTTACCTTTGTTAAATGTTCGAATTATAATGATATAAGGCGTATAAGTCTTATCACTAGTTGAATTGCAATACTAAAAAATACTTTAAATTGTGGATGGAGAAAACAACATTAACAACATACGAAAACGTGTGGATACCACTGAACTGATACGATACAACTGTTTATTCTTCACAAAATGATAAAGATTAACTATGCAGGCTAAACGTATGAAATTACAGATACATAAATAACGTTATTTACTTACACGTTATTAACGAACCAGCTAAACTCAACTAATACAATGCAACTATTTAATGCTACTGAAAACTCACAAAATGATAAAGATTAACTATGCAGGATAAACGTATGAAATTACAGATACATAAATAACGTTATTTACTTACACGTTATTAACAAACCAGCTAAACTCAACTAATACAATGCAACTATTTAATGCTACTGAAAACTCACAAAATGATAAAAATTACCTTTACAGCCTGAACGTATGAAATTACAGATGCAAAAATATCGTTAGCATGATTTACTTATACGTTAACAAACCATTATCATAATTCTTCATGTGTTTTTGTTTGAACGAGTCAGAGATACGATAAACTAACATTTTACCACTACTTACTCGCAGTCAAGCTACTGATAAAAAAATCCTTTTTCTGTTCTGGAGAAAGCTGAATTCATTTGTGTCATAAGAGATACCTATAATAAAAATTATAAGTTTAGTCAGTGTTGAAGGGTATAACAAAATAATTTATTAAATATTTAATCAAAATAAATATTTCAATGACTCATACATGTTTTACTACAAAACGTTTTGTCTGATTTTAGTTTGATGTAAACTCATGTCAAATATTCTAGAAATTAATTGTATCTAATCCAATCACTATAATCATAATACACACAAAAAATGTTTCATTCTTATAGGTTCTTAATTCATAATTAACTTCACACTTTTGAATATGAGTCCATACTAGGCACCATTCTCAATCATGAACACACAGATTTAATCAAGTAGTCTCGGGATGTTCTTAACAACTTATATATATATGTTCGGGATGTTCTTAACAAGTTATATATATATGTTCGGGATGTTCTTAACAACTTATATATATATGTGTTCTGGAATATTTTATTTTTATATTTACAGAATTTTAAAAGTAACACGAATATATGTCGCATGGTTGGTTAGTTGGATGCTTATTTTTTTATTTTAGCAAAGCCACATTGGGCTATCTGTCGTGTCCACCGGGGGAATCTAACACCGAATTTGTAAGTCCGAAAACTTGCTGCTGCCCCACCAGGAAACATCTGGATTGTCTATTATAAAAGACACATGATAACTTTTCTAAGACGTAAGTTGTCTCCTTATATTAAAATTAAACATTGTTTTTGATCTAGGAACAACTTCAGAATGTATTAATGATTTACGAAGTGAAAAGAAAACATTGACACTAAAATGGATTCCTCAAATATTTTACTTCGATTTTTTTTCATAACATCAAAGGGAAGAAAACTGTCTAGCTTTTGTTAAATGTGCATGGACAAAAACAAGCGAGATACTTTTAGGTTAAAACCCACGTATAAAGCTTTATAAAATCTCTTTGTAATTTCAGCACATTCTTACTGAATTTAAAAAAAAAATCGAAAGTAGCATGTTCCTATTTTCTGGGCTCAAAGCAAATCAAGTTTGACATCAGAAAACTTTAGATTTCGCCTTTCTCCTCCTAATCACATTACAGCATGGTTCTGTAAAAACAGCACAGCCGACAGACGTCTTCCACATAACACCCTTTAGGCTATTCAGTACGAAAGCAAACACCGCAACAAATGTTAAGAGACATCAAGTGTGATTGTTCTCACACTTATGTAGGGAAGCATTAACTATAATAGCTGTGGTAGGAATCTATACAGAGGTGGTTCTTAATGTAAGATCGATAAACTTTCAGACCCAGTGTCAACAAAGAAGACTAAGCTTCAACAAATTTTATTATTTTTATGTCAAGCAAGTACCATCGATAACCAGCGTGTATTTTTCTCTAAAACTTATTCATTCAACATATGTTCTGCTGTTATGAAGATATATAAGAAAGTAAATAGGTACCTACTTCTTTGTTTTCTTCTTTTCAGCTCTACTAAGTTTTATGGATATAACATGTATGTGATTAAAAAAAGAAATAACGCTGGCTAGATACGAATTTACATTAAAACTTAAGCCTAGAAACACTTCAACAAAGAATGTTCGTTCACACTGTAGTTTTCACTGGAAATTTATAGGGAGTTTTTTCCTATTCAAGATGTAAAAGATAATAAAAAATAAACACTTATTGTAAATATTCATATTCAAGAAGACAGAAACAAGGAGATTATTTATCTGATTCTTTGAATCTTTCTGGTGATTCTTCTTGGAATGTGGTAACACTTCATTGTGGTATAGATGGGTAACACTTTAATATATTATCGTGGATATTGATATCATTAGAAGGTGGTATAGGAACAACAAGTCTTCACATCAACAAATTATCTGAAGTTCTCTTTTAATAATAACTAAACTACATCAGCAGTTAATGTATAGCTTTCATCAAACTAAACGCATTTTATGTTACCTATATTTTTTATGCTTATTCAGTTACTATTTTTAATACATTTTATATATCTAACACATTAACTCAAAATTCTGAAATACTTTCTGAAGTTATTTTGCAGGCATGTTTTCTAAACAATCAATAAAACTAGTAATTATAATAATTTACTATAAAACCAAATCAGTAGAGTAGCCATGAAAATTTACCATGAGTCGGCGTGGCAGAAATAATATAACACAAACCAAGAAGGTAACTATAGCAACACTGAATTTAACCGCATAAGTTATCTTTGTACTTAATTGCATATCAATGAAATGGTCAAATCTAATAGTATCACCAGCAATGAATAAACGTCTTTGATGACTAGCATTTATATAAAACTTCGATAAAATTATATTTTGTCTTCAATTAGCTCAAATGGCCGAATAAGAAATATGAAACGTAGCGTGTGCATGGTTTTTGGTATATTACAATACTTTATAGTGTGAAGCACTTTACATGAGCGTAAAATTCAATAGAGTAAAAGAAAACCATGGTCAGCAAAATTTTATGATGAAATTATTTGAGCACTTTGAATAAAAACATGCGTCCATTTGAGTTAAAAAAGAAGATTTTTGTTGCAATTATAGCACTGATATATCCACTCTTATACAACACTATTTTGAAGATAATGAATATTATCGTAAGGAAGGCAAAAAAGAAGTACAAAGGGACCATCTTCTTGTTTTACTGTATTAGTGGGAAAACAAACAGACCATAATTAATCACAATATTTAATCACTATGATGTGTGATGTATTTTAACTCCAATTTTAAAATGTAATAGGAATCGTGAAAGACAAAAACAATCATTCCATGACTCATCATTTGTATTATGAGTTTTTCGATGATGACTCATATACACCCAAACGATGTTGAACTTAAAAAAGATAACCAGTAGACGTCTAAAGTGAGCCTGAATCATGAAGCAAACGACAAACCAATAAATCGACCGCTAGCACAGAGCAGTTATTGTAACCCACTGTGATAAATCAAGAGGAGGAGGAAAACACACACACACACATATATATATCGTTATTAGCCTCTATCTCCTCAAATCAGCTATCTTGATACAATTTGCCTTAACCACGCCCATCTTTGCACATAAATCAGAGGAAGAAAATGATAGTGCTACAATTGTACAAATGTTGATAATAACAGGGCTTGGATATAGGAAGAGAAACAGAAATGTTATTCATTTATTGCTTTTTTACTTTATTTGTTATGTGGCATATACTGTTTCTACTGGAATAACTAAAGAAAAAGTTCTTGGAAGGTTGAAAGCTGATTAAATTCAAAAGCAAATGGTAACAACGTTATTGATTAAGTACATTTTATTTTGGTCACGTAGTCTTTAAATAGGTTGTTTTCCCGTTTCAAGTTAGATTATATAAAAGGCAATATCTGCCTTAACTCATAAAAAAAATAAAAAATAGGGAGTCTTACTGTTCAATTTTGGTGAAAAATTCGAGGAAGTTTCAAAAACTTCACTGAACTTTTTAAAAAGCTAAAATTATAATACCACAAAATGAGACGAGTGGTTTGATTAATACTTGAAAACCTTTCAAATTACAATATTTAGTATATATATATATATTGTATATTTTGTGCACTGTTGACGAGTGTTTTACATAAATATCCCATTTTTATGTGCTCTCAACTAACACGGGTTATTAAAATTATTGTCTTTCTATGATATATTTAGTTTTAACTTAGAAAAATAAAAATGCATGCCTTATTATCATTATTGCTATCTAGCATTCATAAGGATACATTCATATGCAAACGTCATTGCAGTTGAAGTATGCTTTTCCGCTCATGACATGATGCACAGCTTGTTTTGGTTACGATTGTAATTACGTATTATGTGCAAGAGCTAAACCTAGATATATACATATTTTGAGGTTAATTTTGTACAATTTTTGTTTTATCACATTAGACGTGTGTTATACTAATATCTTTCTATCTTTATATTAAAAGTAATCAGAACACTTCGATGGTAAATACATAATTTCGCAAGAGGTTACAATATTTTTAGTGTTTCATTTTCCCGTCTGGTTTTTGTTTCTTGGAAGAAAATAAAACTGTAGGACATAAAGGATAAATATTTTATAACATTGAATCAATCATAATGTACTATAAATAATTAGCATCCCTAAGTTTACTTTACAAGATTCCTGTATACGCGCAGTCTAATAATTTTTCAAAGAACATGTTAGTTAAAGTGTTTGATGAGATCTAGGTAACGCTACGAATAATATTTTTAGTTTCTTCTTTGTATTCATTCTTGTCCAATAAGAATAGTTGAATCCCATGAATAACCAAAACCTCACTAAAGCTTATTCTTTTCAAAGAAAATTTAAATTTTCTAAATACTTTAATGTTTTCTACTTCATGTATATTATTAACAAATCCTTATTAATGTGTGAAGGATTCAACAAGTTTATTTAACGCATAAAATTTGTTATTAAATCTAAATGAATTTGTATGTAATTATACAGATACTTTACATAACTCAATCTTTATGTTGTTACTATAGTAGTGAAAAATGAAACATTCTTTGGAGATTAAATGAATTGTTACGACTAATGCACAGTAACCGTGACGTTAAAACATGATGCATATATCTTTATGTATACCTTTAAATACATATATGCCAGCTCAACTCTTTCCTGCTTTCAGGGCAGTTTTTTAAAACCGTAATGAAATTATATCATAACATTCTAGAGAATATTAATGTAATCAATATCAGGGTTTTATTTGAAGCAAATTGTTCACACGTTTCATTTGTTGAATAAATAGGCGTACACAAGGAAATGCTAGGAAAATATGCGAATAAGTGGTTAGCTGCGGTTATTAAAACAAAGTGTTCAAAATATATAATTTAAAACATATATATATTGCTTAGATACGGAGAATCGAAGTTATATTTAAGGCTATTTCAATCAAGATGATTTGTTTCTGGATGCTTGAATCATTGTATTAGTAGAAATCATGTTAAATGTTTAGAATTCTAAAATGTGATTTAATAGATTAATAATTTAAAAGAATGAGTTAAAACTGTTATAAAATTGCCATC